GGATCAGCGACTAGCCTGTGTTGGGATAACGGGCGCTATGCGCACCACACCAACACCGGCGTTAAATGCGATGCTAGGCTTGCTTCCGTTGTATTTACATATAAAGAAAACGGCGGCACTGGCAGCAATTCGCATAAACCGGAGCTCCACGTGAAACTTGGTGGGCCATCGGAAAATTCCTGACCTCGTCCAGGCCGCGGTCAAGGAAACGCAGATGACATTGGAGACTATGAGTAGCACTTATGGGACAGAAGTGTCCTATAGAACACTAATAGTAGACGGCCTTCTACATAATGAATGTGAAATCCATCGGTAAAGCCATCTTTACCGATGGCTCTTTGATGGATGGTAGAGCTGGTGCTGGGGTTTACTCGAAAGAACTAAATCTAACGTGCACTCTACATTTAGGAATATATGTTTCCGTCTATCAGGCGAAACTTATGACAGTCTCACATGATCTGGATGACCTATTGGATTGTCAGGTGTATCAGAAAAAGATTCTAATAGCACAGGACAATCAAGCAGTTATCAAAAGCATGCAAAAGAGATACATAGCTAACAGTTCAAGAATGTGTAAAAAAGCTCATGGAAATGAGGTAACGGTTGTGTGGGGTAAGGGAGACATCGGTATTGAAAAAAACGAGAAGGCAGATGAACTTGCATAAATCATAAAATCTAATAATTATGATTGTTTTACATATTATAAAATATACAATATAATTTTAAACGCGATTAAGGTAAAATACTTATCGCCAGGATAAAACAATTCTAGAGATCGGATGATTAGTTTGCAGGCAAATATGAAAAGTCCTGATTCCTTATTTACAAGACTTTGACTCAATAGAGTATTTGAGAATAGTGAGAAATTTTGATATACATAAGAATGCATATTTCAATTAAAATTTGGTTTTAGTTTTTAAGCATATTATAATATAATTAATATCTTTGCTTAAAGATAAATTCACACACTTGTAATGTGCAGGTCGTTTTCACCAGGCATCCAAGAGGAGACTTGCTTCCACTATTATTATAAACTTCTGATTAGACCAAAGCATATCCTATTTCGTTCGTATGTGTGCTACCTTACATAAAAGTTGTTAGATCGCGAACCTCCGAACCTGCCCCAGTCTGTGTGTGACAATTGGTATTTCCTCCAAGAACCAGATATTGAGGAACAGTTATATCGCTGAATACTCGGTCGCCATTGCCTCAAATGTTTAAAACAGGTATCAGCACAATACTATATGATATTGAGTTATATCACTATATGGGCTTTGTAAGTATTGCTGAAATGTTAACAAGTAAGTGGAATTATTTGAAACATGCTGGGCTTTAAACTGTTTAAGTACTTCCAATAAAAGTTTTTATTATATTATTTAAACAAAGTAAACAGAACATAAGCTTTCCGCAATAATTTATTAGTAGGTAGAGTCTAAAAAACTAAACTGAAAAAACCAATTAAAAACCTAAACAGTACTCTTTTAAACCAAAACATTTTTGTGTTTTTATGGAGCACCCAATAAAGGCTTGCGAACCAGTGGTCATCGTTGAGGACCAAATTCTTCGGGTGAAAAAGCAACTCAAAGTGTACTTTGACTAACGGTTCTATGCATTATTCATTACAGATCATTTTCAATAGTTGATAATAGTTTTCAATAAAAAAATTCGCCAGAACTAAATTTCAAGTACACGTTTTGAAAAAGTTTAAAGGATCTTATGGTCTTTCACAAGATTTAAAAAGTTTTAAAATTTCGCTAAAGGATAACATCAAATTTAGCACATGTCATAGTTCGGAAATATCGTAAATTTTGTACATACATACAGTCAAAAACGTCCAAAATTTAAAAAATGGTTTGCTATGTATTGATCAATGGTTTCAACTCGAGATTTTAATTTCAGTTTTCATTTTACTGAGAAAATTGAAAAAATACGTTCAGATGTCTATAATTTTACGACACTGACGAATTGCCGACACTCCCATTGCAAAACCAATTTTCGCTAGTTTTTGGTATATAATTTGTTGTTCGGTGGTATTTTTAATGAAATGGAGAGCACTGTTGAGGCATTTACATATATTTTCATAAATTTAATTTACCTTTTTCATAATGTAGGGTCTAAAATATCAATACAAAATGCAATATTACAGACTCTTAGTGTAATGAAAAATATAATGTCAAAGCCTTTCGAATGCATATTTGTTATTTAGAGAATACTTCTTTATAAGTGTTTTATCAATACTTATAAAATTCATACCTTTTATATCGGGTATTTGTTAGCCAAACACGCCATATACGAGGGCGATTTGATAAGTCAGTGACTTTTTGAATTTCCGGCGCAGTTACTCCAAATGCAACAGTGCTGCTGTCAGCTGTAATCTACCAGTGGGCAACTTTATAATTTTGAGCAAGTTACGTCGTTCAGTTGGTGTTTGATAGCTGTTCAAAGCCGACAACTCACTTTTTTCTATTTTCGTAAAAATTTACGAGGTTGTCTGCTTTGAACGGCTATCAAATACCAACTGAACGATGTAGCTTGCTCAAAATTAATAATATAAAACCTATAATAATAATTATATATAACGTATAATATAAAACTTATAATACATTTCTATATTGAACTTTTATATATAATATTAAATCATATATATATATTAGATATATTTATATTTCTGTTATTACATATATGTAATGTAAGAAAGTACATATATGTAATATAGAATGCATAATTTATATATACCATATAAAATATATATCATATATACAATATATACGTAATATATAAAACTAATATATATAATATAATATATAATATGTATAATAAAATATGTAATATGTATTATAAAACATGTAATATGTATAGTAAAATATGTAATATGTATAATATAATATATAATATCTATAATATAATATATAATATCTATAATATAATATGTATAATAAAATATATAATATGTATAATATAATATATATAATGTAATATGTAATATATAATATATATAATGTAATATGTAATATATAATATATATAATGTAATATGTAATATATAATATATATAATGTAATATGTAATATATATAATATAATATATATAATATGTATAATATAATATATATAATATAATATATTAATATAATATAATATAATATAATATAATATAATATAATATAATATAATATAATATAATATAATATAATATAATAATTTATTAGCGCGCTATTGGTTATTTAAATAGAAATAAAAAAATGTGATTTATTATTTGTATTTAAAAACAAATTATATTTTATTAAAATATTTTTCCCTTATTTCGACTATCTTCGATAGTCATCTTCAGGGAAACTAAACAAAATATACAATGTTAAATTTAGATTTGCCCTTATTTATTTTTGATTTGGTGTTACTATATAATGTAACTATTGTGTTAGCTGTCTTCTGGGTGATTTTATACCGTTTCTTGTCATATACATATATTGGAGTTCATTATTTGATTTAAAAATTTTGGGACGAAATTATTAATTTTTTTTATATATTTCCTGGTAAGAAAAATAAAATTCGTGCTGAAGCCAGTATAGCATTGGTTGTACATTCTAGTGACTGCAAACGTGAGCCTGATCTTGACAATGCAAAGATCTTAGATGAAGAAATAAACCAAAATAAAAGATACTTTCTGGGAATGCTTTTAATACTTAAAATTCTGAATAATAAGAGATTAAATAATAAAACGGATACGGACAACTGTGCTTAGACTTATAGGAATATTATAAACAAATGACACAGGATATTGAATATGTATTTTATAATTTTTCTTTTTGTTGTTGTTCTTACTGTCATTATTGTATTTATTGTATGATTTTTCTTTGTAATTTTACACTGTAAATTTAACATTTTGTTTAGTTTCCCTGAAGAAATATCGGAAAAATATTTTAATAAAATATAATTTGTTTTAAAACATGGGCATTTGTCGAAAGTAAAAATTTTAAATAAAAGAGTAAAACACATATGTATGCTCTAGTTTTTAATACGAGTGGTAGAGATTTAGAAATAGAGAAAATAACAGACTTTTTTCGAGTTGAATAAAATAATAAATTATAAAAATTCAAGTTCTATATAATAATAAATTAAACAGTAATTAATAAAAATAATTGTTCTAAATACAAACCAAAATATGATTAATGTTTTTAATGTTATGTATGCTTACATGAATAAATATGAATTAAATATATTTTTAAAATAAACGCGTACATAATTTCCGCAAAATGCAAAAAAAAACCCAACAAAAAAAATTTGTTTAACCTCTCTACCTATAATGAAGACTTGTCTATAACGAAGTTTTTTGCAAGCACCAATGATTTAGAGGTTTGATTGTATATAACATAACATATATATTAATATTATGAAATAGGTATAACGTTTATTCAAAGACTAAACATAATTATTTTTAAAATGTGTTAAAGAAAAAAATTAAGCAATATTTTATTCGTTTTCGAAATACATTTTTGTAATTTTATTTTATTGCGTTTTTGTTTGTTTAGTTTCGTAATTGTAAACACTTAATTTAATTTAAATATGAATTTTATAGACCGTAAAAGTTAATTTAGTAAAACATACGACAAAATATACACTATATATCTGCTCCGTTTAAGATATAAATTGCTGCATGCTTGTGTGTATATATATTTATTATTAATTTGTATATATATAAATACTTTTTATCGAATTTTATTTTAATTAGATTGAGAAGAAAAACTTTTAGTAAAACACGACACATAAGAGGCAATTTTTTTTGCAACTGTTTAAATACATATATATTGAAGTTTTTAGATTTAATTAAATATTTTGATTTTAAATGTTGCTTTTTTTTAAATATACTTCACAATACCACTGAAGATGGTATTTGTTTTCCTTTGAATACATGTTTTTATAAATAACATGCTCATGCGTTCACAATAAAATTTCCAATAAAATATTAAGAATAAAGATAATTTATGTAATAAATATAGTAAAAGCTTAAAATTTAATACATAAAATGCTATAAAGACGACGACGACGACAAAGTTTTCGATAATTAATATACACAAATGCGAATACGACGAATAATACGAGTACGAGTATAAGAGATCAAAAAGTGCGCCAAACGTTATAACAAATGACCACGACGAGCGCCACCGTCACAATTCATATGTGATGTTATTGTTCATTTGGTCGCGTGTTTTACGTGACTTAAATGGTGCAGAAAAATGTTCAAAAGCTGTCTCTGCTGTAAAAGACGACGAACGCAAGCGATAATGCGGCACAGAGCTGGTATGACCTCCGGAGCTACGTGATCGTTGATACGGTGGACGTGAAAATGAAGTGCTATATGGTGCGTTTGAGCTGTGTCCACCACCAAAACAACGCATGGCAGCACATATTAAAGTACACCAGCGCCATGAGGAAAACGTATAGAAATGCGGTGCCGTCTTAGGTAACAAATGTTGTCGACTTGTGTGCAAATACGGATTGTAGTTGGAGCGAAATGAGCTGTCACTACTATTGCCACTGTCAATACTGCTTTGCAGTAGTGACATGCGAAAAATATTCCCATTGTTAAAATACGATTGATCATCGAAATCATTGTCAGAAAATCCTATGTTGTTACCTGCACATGTTTGATTATCGAAATCTCGATCAATAGATACAGCGGGTGTTATAATCATAAATTGGCTATATTTAGTGCGATACGAACGATTTGATGTAGTACAATTGGCATTAATAGATGTCGATTGATGTTGCTTCTGCTGCTGCTGTTGTTGTTGGTGGTGGTGATGATTAGCAATGGAGTTTAGAAGCGTTTGATTTGTATCGATTGAGGAAAATGAATTGCTAGACGAAATTGGTGATATATCACCGCCATTGCTAATACCAATGCCACTTCCGGTGGTGCTTAATATTCCTGCTTGATTGATAAATGTGCCTGCCGGAGATGGTTGTGTTGTGGTCACTTGTTGATGATGATACTGCAGTTGAAGTGGCAGTGAATGTTGCTGTTGCAGTTTTGGGTGATGTGCTGAATTATGATGTTGCTGTTGATGCTGTGCTGGGGATGTTGTGGTAGGTGTTGAACCAACTGATGGCATCCATCATCTCGTTTCTTCAGCTCCACTACTGCTGTCCTCAGGTTTAACTATTTGATAAGTTATCAAGTATTCTGGATAGGCCTAAATTTTAAAAACACATTTAATGAACGTATAAATCCTTATTCATATTAAGGTTTAAAATGTTGTACAGGTTTAAATTATCATAACTATATTAGATAAGGGTACAACATTACTTACTTGTTCTCCTCTGTAGACAACATATTCAGCAAAATGTAAGCCGCCTGCTGAAGGACGACCAATGACGGAATGGTGACCTGGTGGAGCATGTGCCATTTTCATTGCGCTATATTGCAAAAAGGATTTTCCAAGTGCCACTCGACATAATAATAGTTGCCTACGATAAAAGGAAGCAATACTGAATATGCATTTTTAAGAATAATGTATTATTTACCTTGGGCAAACATAGCATGACTTATCCTTATGTGATGGACATCCAATTCCACCACCTATTCCGTAAACATATTGATTACTTTTAGAACTGTGCTCAGCAAAATAAATGCCTGCTCCAAACATGCCACCTATGTATGCGTGACGCTCGTCGAATCCTTTCTGCACTATAGCATTAATGAAAGGACTACCATGAAATAACATGCGTTCATTGGCCTGTAAGGTATTTTCTTCTGAGACCTCTTGACGACGATGTGCGTAACGTTCCCATAGTTTTCGGTTTTGCACTTTTTGTACCTAAAATAATGAATATAATAAAATAAAACGTGTATTAAATGATTATGTCTACACACTCTTATAATATTATAGCGTATAAAATAACCGCCTGCTTGACCATTATCACGATGTTCACGTATTGTTGCTTGCATTTCTTCTTCAACTGCTAAAAACTCTTTGTCATCAGGCAATAAATCTACTAGCAATGTACCTGGATTTACATTGTTACCGATCCCTTAATAAAAAAGAATATAAATATAATATCAATGCACATAGAAAAATGAAATGATTAAACTCACCTGTTGATGACCGTAATTGTGCTATTCCTTTAAGTATTTTGTGCCTAAATCCGTAAGCAGAAACTCCCACCTGTTTCAAATCTTCATGGCCCATTTCCGCAAGTATTTCCAAAGTAATTTGCTCTCTTTCAAACAAATCAATTAAATGTTCGAGTTGTTGACTACAAAGGAAACTAGCTATATTTGTAATGGAATCTGGATCGGGTACTTCTTCGCCTAAATCACTGGAATTAGCCTCAGCCCCTTGTGCAGGACTAATACGTGTTGACAACGGTAAAGGTACAGGCACACTTAAGGTCATGGAGGCGCCAGAGGGCAGTGTAACAGTCTCAGTGGTGGGTGATAGTACCGTACAGGAAGCATTTGCAGGTGTTACATTGGGTGTACAAGCTGCTGCATTTGGCGCTGGAGAGGGGGAATTGCTTAGTAATGATTGTTGCGAAGAGCTTAAGTTTGAATTGCCCAAAGAAGTAGTCATGGCATCTTGCAATAAGCATTTAACATCGTCCGCTGTGGCCAATTCAATTGGTGTTTGGCCTTCCTGATTTTTCATATATGGATCAGCTCCATGCGCAAGCAGTAATGAACATAGTTGAGTACGTCCTTTCTGTGCTGCTTCATGTAAAGGTGTAAAGCCCCATTTATCGGTTGCATTAACCACAGTCTTATGCTTAATTAATAGAGCAGCAATATCTAAATGTCCATAAGAAGAAGCGTTATGTAGTGGTATTAGACCGCCTTTGTCTTGTGCGTTTACATCAGCTCCGTTCTCTAGTAAGTATTCTGCTACTTCGAAATTATTATAGCCAGCTGCCAAATGCAATGGAGTAGAATTACGCCCCTGTGCATCACGGCAGTTTATGGTTTCTGGCGTTACCAGTCTTTGTACACGTGCTAAATTGCCTTTTTTCGCTGCATCTAGTAATGCAGAATTACCACGTAATAACTCAGCTACATCATGATCAGATTCTTTAACTAAATCTGATGGTGTAGCACCATCACGATTTTTCTTAGAAGGGTCTGCGCCATGTTTAAGCAAAAGCTTAACTATATCATATTTACCCTTGGCGGCAGCTTCATGCAATGGTGTAAATTTCCAGAGATCAGATACATTTACATTGGCACCATGCTTAACGAGTAACTCTGTAACTTCGTAGTGGCCATAAGAGCAAGCATTATGCAATGGAACTAAACCACCTTTATCGGCAGCATGCACCTCAGCACCATGTTCTAATAAAAATTCTACCACAGGCACTCTATTAAATCCTGCAGCAAAATGTAATGGCGTTGAATGACGGCCATCCAAGTCACGGCAATTAACAGTATGTGGATTTGCTAGAACAATACGACGCACCGTATCCAAATCACCTGCTTTTGCAGCTTCTAATAAGTGCGTTTCTGTATCTGGAGGATCCTTTAATATTTTAAGTACATTATCTGAAGCTAATTGTGCAGCTGAATAACCTTCAAGAGATATGATGGTTGTATCAATCGAGTACGATAGCAGTAAACGCACCGCCTGTTCATCTCTAGCACATTTGTGTAGTGCTGTTTGGCCCAGTCCGTCCAAGGCGTTAACTTTGGCACCATTTTTAAGTAATGAGTCCATTACATCGTAATGCAAATGCTCGGCAGTCAAATGAAGAGGGGTAAGGAATGCTTTGTTCTTCTCATTCAAAAGTGATCCCTTACGTATCAGAATTTCAGCAATCTAAGGAAAAAATATATGAATTTTTCGTTAAAAAAAATGTTTATAGTATTAGTTATATATATATAACTATATATAGATAGTTTACATTTCATATCTAATAAATTATATGATAATATAGAAATCGACAAGTAATCATATTCAAGCAAACTTATTTAGTGATTTATATTGAAAAATATATTAAATGTGTTACCTGTTTTCTTTTAGGATCAATAGACACAGCAGTTATATGAAGTGGTGTATCACCGGAGTATGGATGTATAAAATTAACAGTTTCGGATGACAAAAATTTTTTAAGACGAGGTACATCGCCTTTTTTGCATGAATCTAAAACGCAATGTCCTTTAAATTCATCTGGAACAAAAAAAAACATTACATTTGCATTGAAAATAATTTGCAAAACAGAATAAAAAACTATCACTTACATGTTATTCGTTCTCGCAGTTCACGTGTTGGCGCAGAATCTATAGCTGATTTGTTATGGCAGTTAAGCAGTGTTGGGTCAGCACCTTTGCTCAGCAAAAGGCTGCAAACTTCAATTCGACTTTTTGAGGCAGCTTCATGCAATGGTGTAAAAGCCCACAAATCATTTGCATTTACATTGGCACCCGCTTTAATCAACAGTTTTGTAACTTCGAAGTGGCCATAGGAACAAGCATTATGTAGAGGTACCAGACCGCCTTTATCCTTGGCATGCACATCAGCTCCATTTGCTAGCAATATTTCTACAATGCCTATGCGATTATAACCAGCAGCTAGATGTAATGGTGTTGAACGTCGACCATCACTAGCGTGACAATTAACATTTAATGGCGTCAACAAAGTGAGTAAACGATCTTCAGCCCCAGAACGTGCAGCTTCAAGTAGTTCATCTTTACGATATTCACCAGTGAGTACCGGTCGAGTGCTATCATCTGCTAATTCCAGTGGGGTTTTCTGTTCCGAATTGCGTATATTCGGGTTAGCGCCATGTTGCAATAGGGCAATGCATACGTCGACTTTTCCCTTGCTAGCTGCCTCATGTAATGGAGTATAATTCCAATTATCCGTTGTATTCGGACTGGCTCCGGCTTTGAGAAGTAAGCGCACAACCTCGGCATGTCCAAATGAACACGCATTGTGTAGCGGGTGTAGTCCCCCCTCATCACAAGCTTGTATTGAAGCGCCACTATTCAAAAGAAACTCAACAACCTCGCGTCTGCCGTAACCTAAATGCGATAAACAAAAGTATACAAAAAATAACAAAAGTTAAGTAAAAATCATTTGACCATATAGCAATGTCAGGTACAGAAGAAAAGCGTTAATTACACAAATTATATGTGAATGAATAGAGCTGATATGTTACCTCCCCCTTCTGTAGCATATAAACGATACTTGTATAACAATTAAGCCGACAAGTGTGAAAAGTGTATGTCGAAGAAGAAAGTAAATACGTAACACAACTAATTCGAACAATTTTCGATTGCAAGGTTGTCGGGCGTTCTCTCATAGTTTTCTTCTGCGTTCATGGGAATTTATTGCAGTTGACGTGCTTTTCCGGAAATATATGTGAACATGTATACGCGGGAGATTAAGTCGACTTTAGTGAACATGAAGTCGAAAACGGAAATCGTGCATTTGTCACGTGACTAAACAGCTTAAAGTTGATTTAAGTTTATGGTATGTACGTATTTGTATAGATTTCAAAAATGAAAACGTTGAGATAAATAAATATTATATTACGATATAATTAAAAACTATTTTAAATATATAAGATCATTGAAAGATTCTCATATTAAGATTGGCCATACAGCTTTGATTGATCTCTGATTGAAGATTAGTCATAGTAATCACACATCTTAAATCGCATGTATTTTAATATAGAATGAAACAATAATATATATTGTATAATATATAATATATATAATCGATTTTATCTAATTCATATCATAAAGAAGTAGTAATCATATTTCTAGAGCATTCTATATTGACGGTATCTTCAATTAAATTTAAAAAAAAAAATAATATGGTCCAATCACGTTTCTTGAACATAAACCTATAGTATGATTTAGTCCGAATAGATTTATTATTTTTGTAATAAATTTTAAAAACTTCATGTTATCTAACTTCTGCACTGTTATCTGTTAGTGGTTATTTGCCAAACAATAGTGAACACCTGACAGTTGGTAATGGTGAGAATATAAAAAGCGTTTAAAAGATATATAGTGCTGATTTGATTATTCCATATAAATCTACTTAAATCCGTTAGAGCGACTTCAAGATCATTTTAATTAAACTTGAACGAGATAAGAATACGATGACATCTTTTGTTGGTGCTGAGGGAATTTTATATTAAATTTGTAAGCGTTCTTATTGAATTTATTGATTTAAATCACTACTTCAGTATACTGCGTATGACCCCAATAATATTCAGATTCAGAAAATATTAGATTGACCCGTATTACAAATTTTTAAACCCCATTCTGCCATTTATTTTATTATAACTCACAAAATACTATCATATGGTTGCAAAATCCGAATCTAAAAGAAATCTCTTTGGATCCCACATGTCAAATGCATTATAGTCATAAAACGAATTGGAAATCCTATATATATTGTAGAAATATTGTTATGTTGGCAAAACTTTAATTATGCAATTTAAATATTATTACTGCTATTAACACTTATGATTAAATATCGAACTTTACGAACTTTCATTAAACTATTATATTGCATCAGTAATCCAAAATAGTATTGTCTTATGTGAGCGACTATGGCGTGTAACTATGAAGGAGCCCATCGAGAAAGAAATTCGATAACGGAAATATAGGTGGATTGGACACACGTTACGCAAAAGCACAAATGACGTAGCACATGCGGCTCTAACTTGGAATCCGCAAGGCAGTAGAACCCGAGGACGCCCACGCAATTCTTGGCGTAGAATCATAAACAATGAAACAACTAAATCGATAGGTGAGCTGAGATATATCGCTCGAAATAGGCAGAATTGGAAAAATTTTGTACAAACTATTAGGGAATAGGCTAATAATAATAATATGTGAAACTTAGGTTTGCGCGTTCTAAGGACTCTAAGACGTATCTAAGATTTTTAAGTAGTAATATTCATGAATTGTATAAGTATTCACATTCGATGAATTTTAACAATTGAATAATATAACTCATTTGCAAAGTACTGGAATTTAGATTTCACAATCACAACTAAATTTATGTTAGAATTTTTATATATTTAATGGCAAATATATCTTCTGTGGTAATAAAGAATGCGTTTTCATAAAAATTAAATTCTGTAAATCAGAAAAGCAGATATTAGTTATTTATATTTCAGCCTAATTTAACACATAAGTTATATTGAATATTGAAACCAGTAAAACCAGCTGAGAAAGTATTATTTAATACTTTATAACAATGAACGAATGTGCCACATAATAGACCATGGGATGTGAGTTAAAATATAGAGGATGAGAATTCTAAATTACGTGGAAAATATTTAATCATTAAGGATTTAAAGCTATGCTACTTGATCATCATGGAATCAAAATATACTGACAAAATATCTCAATATTATCTGATAGGCTACGATTAAGGTTCTAGGTTTTGCAGCTTTCAGGTCCCAATCGTCTTAAGACACATTAAATATATTAAAATAATATTTTACACAGAAATAAGTATCTATGTTATGAGCACCAGGCCATTAGGAAATATATGAAAATATATCATCGGATCGACTACTTATCCGCTAATCCAGATTACATGATATTAAGATGACTGCTCGACAAGCTAGAGAAATAAAACACATTTATGGGTAATCTGCAATTGTTTGCTATTTACTTATATTTGTATCTATCATATAAATGTATCACATAAATTATGGATTAATTTAATGAGCAGTGGATTATTGTTCAATTTTTATGCAGTTACTGTTGTTATAATGAATATACGAACACATGTGTGCTTTTTCTTGGATTGTTAATATAATTTCTGTTATTTGAATGGCATTTGATCTGACCTCAATTTGAATAGATCCAGATTAACTGATTTTAACTGAACTGATTAACTGAACATTTCTACAAAACTATATGTTGTGTGCTTGTTTACATGATTTTTAAAATTGCATAATTTTATTGAATTCCTTTATACAATAGTCTAAAAATTGAAGGAAAGAAATATTGAAATAAACGTTTTTTTGTTGATTGTGCAAGAATATAAAAATCCACTGAAACAATAGTTTTAGATGACTGCATGACGCCAAATTTTCTTGACACTTTTCATTAGTTCGTCCAAGGCTCCAAGACTGAATCCGAACTGAATACAAAAAATTGTTTATAACATTTTTTATTTATTTAAAAATAAAAAAAAACAAAAACGATAAATTGGCAAGAAAGATACACGAATTATTGTTGACCTTGCTTTTGTTTTGGACATTTAAGAGAAACTCAAAGTTAAAGTAGCGCCAACAAGAATGAGTGAAATAATAGTGAATTTTATATATACGAGCTGTAGGAAAAACAAAAAGTACTTAAAAATTAGCAGAAAAGCAAAAGACTATGGCCCAGTTCTATGGAAATAGATTTGTAGATATTTTACCACACAGTTCAGCGAACATGATAGGAGGCAAAGGGGGAGAGCAGCTCTGCAGTAACAACTGCACTCTGCTTACAAATTTGATTTGCACTAAATCTCAATGGAACCAAGTTAACTAACACGCCAGTGGTGTGAATTAGCACAGTACATTGCGGTACATAATCATTGAAGTGCATATTGCTATTATTATTATTATTATTATTATTGCTAATAACAATGAAACAACACTAACAATAAAATTTATTATTCATTATGGTTTAGGTTTCCAAAAAAAACCTTTCGAATTCGGTTACTAGACGACGGATGAGTTGCATAGTTTGCGCGCTTGTAGCTTTTGTGAATGGATAGATACTTTTATACACGTTCCAACAGATTGGAATGTTTTTGAATCGTTATGCGTGAATTTCATTGCATTCGGTTTAGTTCAGTTCAGTTCAGTTCAGTTTTCTGTAAACTTTAATTAAATTTGATATTTTGCAATAAAAAAGACTTACGAATTGTTGCTTTTTTAAATATAATTTATTGCCAGTAAAATTTTATTTCAAAACTTACTATTGTGATAAGTTACTTGGGCGAATTATGCAAGCATTGCATTTAAAACAATTTCAGTTCAAATAATTTTAGTTATATTTTTTATAAATATATTTAACCGCACCATCTACGCATAACACATGCAAAAAAAAAACTTTACCTATGTTAGATATTTTTATAAAAAGAATTAATATCTTATTAATCAATTGCCATCTATGAAAAACAGCCTGTTTTGTTGATTTAATTGTTCGGTACAATTATGAAAGTCATATAATTCCTTCGATATCGTATAGTTCCCGATATGAATCGTAGGGCTATATTTATACATTTGTAGATACTTGAATAATTAATCATTTCAGATAGAATATGTTATTGGGTCAAGCGATCTTTGTCCGGTGATAGGGCTGCTATCTTGTTTAAAGTATTTGGATTTTCTTGGCACCCGAACTTTCCAGATAACACCTCTGTTAGCTACTCAGTATTTCCTCTGAGTAGCAAGATGTTTTTGAAATAGTTATCAATGAAATTATCTGAAAACCAGTCACTAAATAATTATTTTCTGGCTACAACTTCAGAAAGCGGTATATTATATATTAATTATATATTAATTACTGGGAAACTAACACAAACTAACTTCAAATTCAAAGCCCACAAAATTTTATTTTGAGACGTTCGGGTATATATAAAATATAAAGACTTTCAATAATTTAATAATTCTTGAGAACTCAATAATTTTTTTACTTAATGTGATTTTTTAAATATGGTAATAAGAATTAAATTTCATTAAAAATTTTAACCTGGTTACCGCTATAAAATTTAATCAGCTTACGAGGGCATTAACAAAAGTCCGCTTAATGGTCTACAAAATAAATGAACAAAAACAATTTCTCATAAGTTTAGTCTTCTTTTTATTTTTATCAACAAATTTTAATTAAAGGTTGATTTTTTTTTGTCACATGTGACACATCTTATGTCGGATTCGAATAGTAATGAAGAAGCAACAACAAAAATTTAATTAATTTATTGAAGTTTGGCTGACCATACAACGCTGTTTCGAGTATCACCAAGTAATCATCTTCAGTGATTTTAGGAGATA